GCTACAAACATTCTAACACATGTCTATTGTTGAACAGATGGATACATTTCCGAAGGGTAACACCTTGGGGTGGAATGGTTAGATCATAGAGTATGCATACGCTCAGCCTTAGTAGTTACTGCCAAAGAATTTTCCAAGGCAGTTGGATGAATGGACACTTTCACCAGCAGTTTTGCAGAGTTACGGTTGCAATACCTTCTTACTAACACTCGGTATTTTATCATTTTAGCAGTTCTTCTGGGTATGTAGTGAAATTGCACTGTTTGTTTCTATTATAGTTCCTCTTTTATTGCTGCTAGTACAAGACCAATTTACCTCCTCAGTACATAAGGACTATATCTATACTTGAAATTTCTTATGAAAGAGACAGCCTGATCCCTTGTGTATTTGTGAACGGTCTGTGTGTTTCCTTGACCCACTTTAACTTTCAGGAAAATCAACAACCACTTAAAATATCCGATCAAGTTTTTCTTTCCAACTTTCCCCTCTCAGAAACAAAATTCAGCTGCTGCTGCTTCACTTCCGCAACGTTCTGTTATACTTAAAATTCATAGTTGAATGGGCAAATGCATTTCTAGAAAGAGCTAACTTGTCTTCTGGAATTTTTGTGCAATATAGTACACTGAAATATTATTCTTTTGCTGTACGCATACATATTTATAAGGAAAACATTTCATCAATTTAGATGAAATATAGCATACACTTTCATATTAAAGGAATTTTAAAAATTGTTTTATTTTATTTTATTTATTTTTAATTTATTCAATTTATTTAAACTACAAGAAAAGCAAAAACACCTTTCCCACCCTCTCCCTCTGGCAACCACTAATCTGTTCTCTGTATCTATGAGCTTAGTTTTATATATATATATATACACACACACATGTATTTTTAGATTCCCCATGTAAGAGAGATCATATCGTGTTTATCTTTCTCTGTCTGATTCATTGCACTTAACATAATGCCTTCAGGGTCCATCCATGTTGTGGTCCAACCATGCACTGTGGTTTTAATTTTAATTTCCCTGATGACTAATGAAGTTGATCATCTTTTCATATGTCTATAGGCCAGTTGGATATCCTTTTTTTGTGAAGGCTCTTCAGGTCTTTTGTCCATTTGTTTGGTGGGTTGATTATATTTTTCTTATTTATTTGTAAGAGTTCTTTATGTATTTTAGATATGAGTCCTTACATAGATATTGCAAATATCACTTCTCAGCTTGCCATTTCACTCCCTTAATGGTGTCTATATTAGTGTAGTAAGGCTGCCATAACAAAATATCACAGATTGGGTAGCTTAAACAACAGAGATTTATTTTTTCACAGTTTTGGGGACTGGAAGTCTGAGATCAAAGTGTCAGCAGGTTTAGTTTCTTATGAGGGCTGGGAGGGAGAATCCATTCCAGGTCTCTCCTTGGCTTTCAGATGGCTCTCTTCTCACTGTGTCTTTGCATGGCCATCCCTCTGCACACGCATGTGTCTGATACTGCTCTCTCTTTGTGTCCAAATTTCCTCTTCCTATAAGGACACCCGTCAAATTGGATTAGGGCTCACCCTAAAGGCCTCATTTTAACTTAATCACCTTTTTAAAGACCTTATCTCCAAATATAGTTACTTGAACATAGAAATTTGTGGGGGACAAAATTCAGCCTAATTCAGTGACTTTTTTTTGAGAGATAATTGATGTACCACAGAGTTCACCATTTTACAGTGTACAATTCATAAAGTTGTGCAATCATCACCACTATCTAATTCCAGAACCTTTTTGTCATCCCCAAAAGAAACCCTATACCCTTTAGCATCACTCTTCATTCCTTCTCTCCCTCTATTCCCTGGAAACTGCTAATTTATTTTCCGTCTCTATAGATTTGCCTATTCTGGACATTTCATATAAATTAGATCCTATAGTATGTGGTCTTTTGTCTCTGGCTTCTGTCACTTAGCACAATGTTTTCGAGGTTCATTCATGTTGTAGCATGTATCAGTACTTCATCCCTCTTTATGGCTGAATAATATTCCATTGTATGGATACACCACATTTTGTTTATCCATTGATCATTGGGTTGTTTCTACTTTTTGGCTATTATGAATAATGCCACTGTGAACATTCACATGCATGTGTTTGTATGAAGGTGTGTTTTCAATTCTCTCAGGTGTACAGCTAGGAGTGAACTGCTGTATCATATGGTAACTCTAATTTTTCACAGCAGCTACAGCATTTTGCATTCCTACCAGCAATGTATGAATGTTCCAATTTTTCCACATCCTCCCCAACATTGGTTATTTTCAATTTTTTTTTAACAAATTACATTTATTTTATTTATTTATTTTTTTAGATTTTTTTTTAATTTTTTTCCTTTTTCTCCCCAAAGCCCCCCAGTACATAGTTATATATTCTTCGTTGTGGGTCCTTCTAGCTGTGGCATGTGGGACGCTGCCTCAGCGTGGCTTGATGAGCAGTGCCATGTCCGCGCCCAGGATTCAAACCAACGAAACACTGGGCCGCCTGCAGCAGAGCGCGCGAACTTAACCACTCGGCCACGGGGCCAGCCCCAAGTTATTTTCAATTTTTTAAAAAATATATAGTCATCCTAGTGTTTGGGAAGTGGTATGCCATTGTGGTTTTGATTTGTGCTACCCTAATGACTAATGATGTTGAGAATCTTTTCATGTGCTTATTGACCATTTGTAAATCTTCAATGGATAATCTTAATGATGTCTTTAAATGAACAGAGTCCTTATTTTAATATTAAACAATCTATAAGTTTCTTCACAATGCTTTTTATGTTGTTGTATATAAGAAATATTTGCCTACTTCAAGATCATGAACATATTCCCCTATGTGTGTTATTTATTTCTTTTGTCTTTCACATATAGGTCTATAATCCACTTTGGATTTCTTTTGGGTAGATGTAAATTAAGGGTCAAGATATACTTTTTCCATGTAGCTCTATGATTGACCTGGGGCATATATATATCGCAAAAAATATCCTTTCTTTACATTGAAGAGTCAAATTTGTCACAATTAAGCTAAATATAAATTATATATATTCTGGATTCTATATTCAGCTGCATAGTCAGCTTCATACTAATTATACCAATACCACTCTGTCTTAATTAATGTAGATTTGTAATCAGTCTTGAAACCTAGGAGGATTAGTCCTCCAGCTTTGTTCTGTTTCAAGATTATCTTGGCTATTCCTAGCCTTTCTCATGGCCCTGGGATCTCCATTAAATGCAGAAAAGGAACAGATCACTTGTTTTTGGTTTGTGGCATCATAGAAGGAATTACATTCAGCAGAGAGTTTTAAAAATTGATCTTTCGTACAAAGTTTTAGCTCATGGAACTTCAAATTCCTTTTATGAATGATTATTGAACACATTGTGAACCAAGCCCACAAATGAAATGGTAAGTGTAGTATACAGCAAAGGTTAGTTCTTCCTTCAGTGGGTAGTGGTCAAAGATACTGAATAGAATCAAAGTACTATAAATGATGTAATATAAAAATAATAGTATGTAGATAGAGGTTGACAGCTGGAAAGGGCAGTGAAGTAGAACATAAACTTAGAAGCACTCATTTATTCATTTTACATAGTCCATATAAGTAGTAGAAACTCAAGATAAATACTAAGGTTGATAGATCAATAGGGAGGGGATTCCAGAAATCTTCTCAGGAGGCATCGAGCACCCTCAGAGAAAAGACTTGGAGATATATGTCCCATTTAAAAATAAAACAAACATAAAAATAGTTAACTGTGTTGATCCCCATCACTCCACAAAGAAGTTCACCATTAGAGAAACCTTGCTCATACGTATAGATATGTCAATCAATATCTTAGGGTCCCATTCCTTCATATGAGCAGAGACCAAGGAATGTTTCCCAAACCCCACCCTATAATTAATATTTTCAGAGACAGAAAAAATGATATTGCATCAATGAAGAAAGAACAGGATACTACTTAAAAGGAACATATAGAGAACAAGAACAAGCTATTGGAAATTAAAATATGATGAATGCATTTTAAACTTCAATAAAAATCTTAAAATACAAAGTCAAGAAAATCTCCTAAAAAGCAAAACACAAAGAACAAGATATGGTAAGTAGGACAGAAAAGAGAGGTTAAAACAATATCTTACTAAAGAGAGTTCCTAGGGAAAACAAAACAAATATGACAAAACAAAACAAAAACAGAAAATAACAGAAAAAAAATTCTAAAAATTTTCCCTGATCTGAAACACATGCATTTCCAGATAAAAAGTCCCAGCAAGTACCCAGGTCAATGCATGAAAAACATCCTACAGCAAGGCGGCAAGGATAAAGACAAGATACTAAAATCTCCCAGAGAGAAAGAGAGAAAAAAACAGATCAATAACTTTGTATCGATGATTGGAATATTGTGCATTATTCCATAGCAGCACTGGAAAGCACATGGCAATGAAGGAATGGCTTCAAAATTTTGAGAGTCCAGACTTCTACATATGAGCAGTCTATCAATTAACTGTAAGGGTAGCCAAAAAATATATTTTGAGACATGTAAAGGCTCAAAAATTTACTTCCCAGGCACCCTGTCTTAGGCACCTTCTGAAGGATCTGTTCCAGCAGAAATGAGGAAATAAACCAAAACTCATGAAGATTTGGAATCAAAGTAATAAAAAGAACAGCGAAGGGAAGACCTAAGATTTAAAAGTAAACAGTTCATTTCAGAACCAGTGAACAGAGGGCCTGGGAAAGAAGTCTGCCGGAGTGGTGGTGGGGAAGTGTGTGGAGTTGAAACAGGATGTGACGTGTCTGAGCATTAGGAAATATATTGCTAGTTTATGATAGATCTTTGGAGCATGTAGCAAGAATCAGCAAGAGGAACATAGAAAACTAAACCAAAAAACAAGAGAAGTTATTAATGCCATAAAAGTTAAAGAGTTGTCTTATAAGGAAACGTGTTCATAGATATTGCTTGGCTTACCTTGGCTTAGCAAAGATCAAGATTTGCATATCATAATAATGTGAATGTTGAATACTAATTTAACAAGGAGCAGGATATAACAACACTATGAGGAAACATGATGCTGTAAAGGACCTAAACTCTTATTCTCTCTTAAAGCAGGTCAGTATATAATTAAAAATAGTAAATAAACATAAATGGCATGAAAATATTATTTGGAAATATATAGATAAAACTGATAAGAAAGAGCTAAAGGAGTTGAAAGTGGTTATTTTGGGGGAATAAGACTAAAGGGTGGGATTGAGTGGGTCAGAATACCAGAATTTTCACTATAAATCTTTTGGGATTGTATGACTTCTTAATTATCTACTTGTATTACTTTAATAAAATAGTAAGTTATTAAAAATAAAGTTGTGTAAGTAAAAGAAGTTAAGTACATTATTTAAAGCCATAAAGATAGGTAATTAATAAAAGAATATAAAACTGACTGAGGGAGAGTGGAGGAGGAAAGTAGGAGCTAGACTGATTATTTGTAGCAAGAAATCAAAACATATGGTTTAGAAATAAAATGTCAAATGATATATTGTGTGCATCCTCTTTAGAGTGATTAAGGTCATTAGCAGGAAAACTCAAGTTAGAGTAGGACTGAGGCAGAGACGATAATTTTGTTTTTAGTTTTTATAAATCCCTTTGTAAGGTTTGAATTCTTGTTTTCATATGCATACATTACTTCCATAATTATAATTATGTGTAATTAATTTAGAATTAACAAATAAAAAGATCATGACATGATTCACTTAAGTGCGAAAATGTCTGCACACTGTGCCCCATAGAGACCACAGGGAAGGAAATACGGAAAGACTCATATTTCAGAGATTCTCCTGAATCTTCTCTATAGCTTGGTGCCCACACCTGGAATGGATGGCCCTTTATTTATCTAAGTACATTCATGAATTTTTGGACATAAAAGCCCCGAGACTAGAGAAAGACAGGGAGCTAAAATGCTTTCCCTAATAAAGTGAAGGGAAATGGTTGAGGGGCAGTAGGGGCAAGAATGGGTGAAGTGTGACAAGGGGAGATTTGAGAAGGGAAAGTGTCAGACCAGAAAAGCCTAGAGGCTGGTAGTGTCTTGCAGAGAAAGTCAGCTAGAAGATGTTCCTGGTGGCAGGGAAAGGCAATGGTCTTTTAAGATCACAGTTACATAACATTCGATGTGAAAATCCAGTCTTGCGTCAGATAAGCCCTGAGGAGCTCTGCCCAGCCCCCTCAGATCCTTTTGCCGTTTCTGTGCAGCCCTCTGCAGGCTTATGTGTGCTTTGTTTTCTCATGGTCATATCTTCTAATCTCTTGGGACGACTCCCCTCCAGCTTCTAGACAGCTTTGCCCCCACACACAGATAACTGGATGCCCTGAGGGCTCGTGTGCCCCCAGAGTGGCCCCTCACCAATAATTGTTGGTACAGCAGAAGGAAAGACCAGTTCCTTTACCTGGAATTGGGGCGAAATTTAAACAAATTCATAATCCAGACTTCCCTCTTAGGACAAAGCTATGCCACCCTCCGTAGGACTTTGCTTGATGGCCCCGCTAGGTTCCTTCCCTGTCCTGTCATGCTCACCCTACTCCTTTTCCCATTTCTCCTTGGAACACTTCCTTAATAAATTACTTGCATGTGAATCTTTTTCTCAGGGTCTGCTTCTGAGGAATCTGATCTAAGAGAGACACTAAAGCCGTTTCAATTGAAATATTAAAGAAAAGAGTGATCAGATTGAATTGGAAGACTTTGCATGTTCAGGAGGAATACCCGGGTTATACACAGATCAGGCTTTCAAAGACTTTCAGGCTGGTTATTATTGGGTGGAAGAGATGTCAAGCAAAGTCAAATGTACCTTAAAGAGAAAGAGGAAGTGAGAAGTTGTTCTAGAGAAACACTGGTGATCAAATAGAGAGAGAAAGGAGAAGACTTGGAGGAAGATGTGATGTTTGACCCGGGCACTGAAGGAGGTGAAAATAAAGGGCAAAGACACTTCAGACAAGGCACAACTATGCATTTTCCAGGACCACATATACCTTCTGATACAGTAAAACAGAAAGTTAATCAGAGAAACATTAGGAAGTGATTTATATAGGGCTCTAAGTTTTCATTACACAGGAATCAAAGTGGAAACAAAGACACTGGATTTTTGACTGGTGGTTATTTATATTTGCCATTCCACCAAACCCTGGAAAGCAGAAGCTTAAGCTGAGCTAAGATGTAACTCATCAATAATTCTACATTATCAGTAGCACTATGAATATCAACAGATTCACCTAAAACATAATTTTTTTCAGTAAATAATAGTATTTAAGGAACAGTAAAGTTGCTAATAAGAGAAATGTACCTAATTCGCTATTTTGGGGGAAAAGAAGGAAGAGAAAAATAGATGTATTGATTTCTAACTGGGGTTCCTCTTCAAGTCTCTTGCTCCATCTGTTGAATCTCCAGAGATAGCTTATAGAACTCCAGGGCCATTTTCACATCTTCTGGCCTTGAGAGGCACTGCATGAGTTTACTGCCTGTTAGCGCTTGCTGACAGCCCCGAGGGACTTCCTAAAAGAGATAAAAAGATGGATTTTGAGAGGCTTCTCTCCAAACTGTGAAGGCATGAGATTCCTTCAGGATGCCTCCCTGACAGCAAAATTGGAGTATCAAGACCCTCCTCAGGACCGATGGAAGAAATCAAAACATATTTCGTGTTTCAGCAAGGTGTTCACCCTGGGGCCCAGACCCATGCTGCTCTCAGGCAGCAATGAATAACTGTCAAAGCAGGGAGAGAACAGTGCTGCAGAGACCCCAGGGGGCCTCTTCAGAGACAATTGGAGGGATCATTCTGATGGCTATGCAAAAGCATAGCATTAATTGTAGAAAATACAGAGCTGGGGGCCAGGTCACCTGGATCTATAGAACTCTCCTACCCAGTGGCTTGGTCCTTCTTGCTATAAAGTGAGAGAATAAGAACTTGCCTTAACAAGCTCACAAAGTGCTGTGAGGGGAAAGTTGCTGATTCCAAAAGTCATTGAAACAACTCAGAAATGAGTCCTGACAAAAGTCAGGTCTCGTCAATGTTGGCTGACAGTGCTCTGGAGCAGGCTACCACTTTTAGAATGTGATAGAACACCCTGAAACGCATGCCACTTACCCACTCACACTTGGGCACCTCTGGGTACCAGGTGCCCTTCGCTGAGCAGGTGATACTTTGAGAACCAACCACAACATAACCAGAGTCACACTGGACAGCGACATTTTCAGGCTCAACATACTGATCCTTGTCCACAGACAGATTTCCATTTTCTATCTCTGGTTTCCGGCACAGAGCTGTAATGGAAACACAATTTTGATCATCCTGTGATTCTCAGAATAAGATCTTACAATAGTGAAGAATACTGAAGGGGCAAGAAACACTGATAATAAACTATACCTGCATGCTGAGTGTTGTTCTTTATGTCCACTGATTGTATGATTATACCAATAAAATTAATAATAATAATGTTATTGTATATACTACAATAAAACACTATTATGCTGTCCATTTTTCTAGAGAGAAAAATTAGGTATGGATAATTTGTATGACTTTTCTAAGGTTGCATAGCCTTCAGGTGGCATGATTATGATATGAACCTAGGTATTCAGGTCCTAGAATCTGAGTTTTCGAAACTACTATATCTCAAAACCTCATTATTTTCATGATCCTAAGTATGTAATTTTTACTCTCATACCCTTACTACCTTCCTGTGTTAAATGGACTTAATGGTGGGAAATTAGCCCCTTGAGTTGCTATTATCAGTGTGATAAAAAGGCACACCTAATCTTGGTGGTCAACTAGAAATCTACCAGGTCAACTTCATTATAAGAGAGTGGTGGCATGTCTGAGGCTCCAACAGAGGTATCAGTTGCTTCAAGGAGTTTGGAATTTATCCATAAGAGTCTTCATTCAAACTTAAGCAGATATTCACTAAAATTTTCTAAATCCTCACTGATTCTCTCAAATTAAAAATTTTTATCTGTAAGTGCAGAAACAGAACCATACGTACACGAACACTTGAATTATGATGAGGGGAGCACTGCACAGCAGTGTGGAAACTATGGTCCGTTTAATAAGTGGTACATGGTTCATTGAATATCCGTTGGGGAAAAACAAAGTTTGACCCCTACTATCCACCATAAACATATAAGAATTCCAAGTGGATTGGAGATATCAATGTGAAAGGTAAAATAATAAAGCTCTTAGAGATAACATAGGAGAATATTTTTGTGAAATGTAGGCAAATATTTCTTCAATAGGACACAAAAGCCTCCAAAATGAAGGAAAAGGTTGATAAATTGAACTAAATTGAAATTTAGAACTTCTGTTTATCAAGACTAGAACATTCATACATTACTGGTGCAAATCTAAATTGTTACCACCACTTTTGAACAAAATTTGGCATCATCTACTAAAGATGAGCATGTGTATGCTCTATGGAACAGCAACTCTACTCCTAAGTTTATTCCTTACAGAAATGTTTACATATTTGTACCAAGAGACATGCGAAAGAATGTTCATAAGAACGTTATTCATAGTAGCCTAAAACATGAAAAGCTCAAACTTCTATAAGATATGTAAACTATGGTATATTCATCCAAAGGAATATTATAAAGCAATGAAAATAAATAAACTCTTTCTACATAAAAGAAGACAGATGATTTTCCAAAACATAATGTTGAGGAAAGAAGCCAGGTGCAAAAGAGTACATGCATGATTTCCTTTACACAAAGTTAAAAAGTTGGCAAAACTAAATCCATGGAGTTAGACTAGTGACCTCCTTCAAGGAGGAGAGTCAGGAGTGACTGGCAGAGGACACGTGGAACACTTGTGGAGTGCTGGCAGTGGTAATACTTCTTGACCTGAGTGATAATTTCATGGATGGTTTCACTTTGTGATCGTTGTTGACTTGTACACCTAAGATTGGTACACAGTTCTGTAGTATATTATATTTAAATTAAAACAAAGCAAAAAATGGCCCTCTAGATTACCTCCCAAAACACACACATTTGTAAAAGTGGTTACTTCAAGAGTGCTAATCTGGGTGATGGTTCAGACTTTTAAAATATTGTACCATATGTATGTATTAACTACATGAAATGAATAAATAAACAAAGCACACATTTCTAAGTGCTGCCTTTGGCTGGGAGGGAGGAGACCCAGCTGTCAGCACTTTCATGGAGGTTCTACTTTCTTAGCAAGGGGCATCAGTAAAACTGCAGTTACCTTTACACTGAGGGGCTGGAGACGACCAGCGTGAATTTTTGCAGGTGATTTTAGCTTCTCCAACCAGAACATATCCTTCATCACATTCATACTGCACCACAGTAGTAAAGGAAAAAAATAGACTCACATCTTTACGGGATCCATGGGCTATGATGGGAGGCATTCTGCAATCTTGAAGGGTGAAAGAGAAGGGTGGAAGAGAATGAGTTGGCTTTTAATGTAATGCACAATTCAGAGTGTGGGACTGTTTCCATTTTAGAGAAATAAGTCGTTTAATTATTCTGCTGAGGTATATTTCATTTCCTTACAAAATAACTAGGAATGATTTATTGAGTTCTTGACCATTTGCTAGACGCTGTGTTAATCATTTTATATATGTTACGCCATTTAATCCTCACACTAACTCTCTGGCAGTATGAACATCATACTCATTCTAGAGAGAAGAAAACACAAACTTACAGGGGTCAAATATTCTACATAAGGTCACAGCTAGCAAGTGCCAGTAACATGAATCAAGCTTAGGGATTAAACTCAGGTTTGTATCAGTTCAAAGTTTGCTGCTACTTTCTGGAATATTGCTATTTTCTGCTTTCTGTAACAATCATTGAATACTTACTTTATGTGGCACCAGTGGATATTTAAAGGCCATAAAATCAAAGATTTGGCTGAAGAACAATACTCTTCTTGTTACTTGCAAAGTCCAGTAACACCCCATAACTGATGAATTATGTAGCTCAGAACCAATTAGAAAACTCTTAACACTCTCATCCAAATCAAAGACATTAAAAGGTCAGGAACTAAAACATTTTTAAGAATAATATTTGGAGAAGTATTTTTTTTAAAGATTGGCCCTGAGGTAACATCTGTTGTCAATCTTCTTTTCTTTCTTACTTCTTCTCCCCAAAGCCCCCAGGTACATAGTTGTATATTCTAGCTGTAGGTCCTTCTGGTCGTGCTATGTGGGTCGCTGCCTCAGCATGGCCTGATGAGCAGTGCTACGTCTGTGCCCAGGATCTGAACTGGAGAAACCCTTGGCCACCAAAGTGGAGCATGCAAACTTAACCACTCGGCCACAGGTGGCACCCTAGAGAAGTAGATTTTTATAGAGCTTTTGATATCCTGTGGACACTATCCTCACTCCTAGATGAGGCACATGTGTTGGTGTCTTTCTCCTTCACACTGAGAGTAGGGCTCTAAGGAGACCACTGAGAAAGCTTAATATGTTTCCCTTCAGTTTGGAGGGACATTAGACACAGTGGACTAGTGTCGAACTCCTGCCTGAGAAATCTAAAATGCAAAAGATGGGCTGTCTAGTGTCTCTGACGGTGAGAGTGGACAGATTTGTGCTGCCTTGAGATTGGCCTGTACTACACACATCACTCAGAACACAGGGTGAGCAAGTACTTCCAGGGGATTAGAAATGGGTTGCAGAAGAAAGACAGCCTTGGTAGAATTGTCTTGGGCCAGTCCAAAAGGACCACCTGAGGAGAGAGGAAGGCCTCAGTAAAAAAAAAAAAATCCTCTAGGAGTCACTAGGTATCTAGAAGATAGGAAAGAGTAAGTGATCAACCAGAATTGGAGATGGATCCCGGGATCAACCAGATTCCAGGAATTGCAGTTAGCAGATCCCTCAGTGATGATGAAAGACTCATCAAAAGAAACCCAAACAAACAGACAAACAAACAACAACTCACAAAAGGGAGAGCAAGATTTGAACACCCGTGAGGCCAAGAATGAGCTCAGGTGGAGCACTGTTTTCCTTATCTCTGCTCCTCCCAAAGTTTCAACTTTGGGGAGCCGGCGGTGGGGGGGGGGGGGGGGGCATGGTTCAGAAAGCAGAGTAACAGTAATTCCAAAGTAAATTGTTTTAGTAGTGAGGAAAAGAAATTCAACTGTGTATAAGTCATCTCATTTAAGGCTTCCATATAGCCTTTCTTAAACTTTAGATTAAGCACCTCCATAGAAATGTAAAAAATAGCTCTTAATTTTTATGAATAAACATATTGATGGAGTTCTGTAGTAGGCTTTTTGGGTAATATTAAGGGGGCATGATTGCAATGTACTTAAAAAGATAAGACGTAGCCATATAAATAGTTATACCACACCAGTCACTCCAGTGCCAGCAGATTAGGACAGGAAATGAGTTCTATAGGAGAAGGTGTTGACAGAACTGAGGACTGGAGTATTGAGGGAAGGTGTCCAGGAATAAGTAGGAGATACACCTTGAAGGACGAGTAGAAGTTGAGTAGTTGATAAGATAGGAGAAGCAGATCAATACTGAGGCGATGAGCAAAGTCTCTGGCATCACAAGGTTGTTTCTGTCAGAGAAAGGGGAGGCAGAATCAGAAAGGGAGATTCAGGTCAGAGTTGACAGACATTAAGTGCCATTTCAGGGGGTTGGGGCCATCGGTAATGGGAAGATTTGAAGGAAAAGAAGAGAAGGGGAGAGGGAAACAGAAACATAATAAATAATAGAAAGACTTGTTGACAAATCTGATAAGATCTTTCTCTACTACCTCAGACTCTAAGAGAGGGGAACTCAGAGATGAACCTGGAAGACCGAAAATTCTCTGAGCTTAAAGTTCTTTATCCTGTACTGACGCCATAGGCTAAATTAATACTCTCCCCCAATAATTTTCTTGCATCTGATGTGAAAAATCATCTTCAAAATACAGATGCTTCCTTAATAAATCCACGCTTTCCCCCGGCCACTCTCAGTGATGAAGAAAGTATGGCTTCCACACTTTTAAATCAATCTGCTAGCTCACATAAGAATATTCAGCTATTATTTTAGGGTCAGGATTTTCCCTCTAAGCTATCCCAAATCCTCCATTTGTATGCCTTGACAGCTGTTTCAGGGAATATGTTTATAAATATCTTTATTTTATTATGAAAATTAATTCTTTCAGATAAAAAATGTTAGTTAATAAAAGAGAAAAATATCAATTTGTTTAAAGGATGTTTCCATTTAAATAATATAACAACAAATTCATTTCCATACAAAGAGATCTCCAACCAGATCTGGTAAGTTCTCTCAAGCACTTTCATTTCTCATTCATTTGTAAAAATGTCCCTATACTTCAACAATAATGCTTTGCATTTATATAACAGTTTAAGTTTTCAAAGTGCCCTATATTTTACTCTGAAAATTTACTTAGTATTTGTCATAAAAGACAATATTTTTGCTTTATTGTTGGAAATTTTTTTCTAATCAATCAGTAACTAAGATCCTGGACAGCATAATTAGCTCATATGGAAAGTAAATGTGTTTTAAGTATTTTGGAGTGTTTAAATATAAGAAATTAATTTGAAAATTAAAGATTATTCCTTGCTAAAGGAGGCTCACAAAGATTTTTGCACATCAACACTTTGTTATTCTAGACATAATAATAACCCCTATCTAGAACAATTTCTTTTCTATTTTAAAATTCTTCATTTTTATTAATAACATGGTTCATTGTATTCTCTCAAAAAGGTTATGAATTTCTCCTATTTGACTTTATTTGATTAGTTTTTAATTGGGTATTTTTCTCCATATCTTAGAGAAACTTTTCCCTTTTCTCCATAACTACTGTATTCACCACACAGGCCAGAAGGGCACAGTGGTAGGGTCAAGACCCCAAAGAAGTACAATGCTTGGAAAATGCTCTGCAATGTGGGGGGCATGGTGCAGAGTCTCAGAGGTGCTGCCCTGCGGTTCAGCATTCTCAGACACCTTGAATCAAGAGGAAGAACAGTTCTCTAAGTAACAGTTAAAATGGTCCCTAAGCCAAGGAACTGTGCCTTGGCAAAGTCCCAGTTATGTGTCACTAAAGCGGAGGGGTAGGGGTAGTGGCTAGAAGACTAGGTGCTGAGCATAGCTCTGATAGGGGCAAGCTGATAAGGCCCCCTTCTTGAGGAGAGTCTGGGGCTTCATGTGAGAGCTCTCTGGGATATTATGTATTTGCCATTGTAACCCCAAGACTTCCTTGCTGTTCAGATAGCGCATATAATGAGTTCCTTTCTGGATACATACACACTTCCTCTGTGAGTAAACAAGAGCAAAAGGCAGAAGGGACTGCAGCTCATGAAGCACAGTGTATGTGGTACACTCTGCAGGAATTAGAAGTCATAGCACGAAAAAAATAAAATGTCTGAGAAGCAGTGTCTGTCCAGGGAAGTGGTTTCTTTAATCAGGGGTATAAATTGTCCATAGAAGAGTGGGTTTGTAAAAATATAGAAAATTAAACTTCTTTCTAGGTAGCTTATGGTCTAGCCAGAACAGAGAAATACAAGTCTCTAAGTGTGAAAATACTCAAGAATCCAGTCCAAACAATAATTATTCTTACGATGCTTCAGTGGGAACTTTTCCCTAATTCCTGGGTTTTCTGATGTACATAAAACACTAAATGATTCACTCTGTGAAACTAGTCTAGTGTGGAACTATTTCACACTGTGTTTTGAGACCAAAAAGAGCATGCAGTGAAAGTTAAATGATTGAGGATGATGAATTAAGAAGAAAGGAAGATTTATTATGACTTTCAGAATATCTGAACGATGCTGGATCTGAGTGAAAACCAGCATTTTGTCCTTAAGCACTAAAAGACAAGTGGATGGAAGGCACATTTGTTATTCTTCATAGATTGTTAACCCCAAGATTAAGTTTTCTTTAACCATCTGGGACTGCCTGGATATTCACCCAGATCATTTCCTAAATTTAGTCTCCTTAAGTGGGACACAAGAAATTACCAACCAGGATTCTATATTTTGCCCACCAACTGTGGATATCTGTTCCTGGAAGAGACAAAGATAGCTGTCCAAACAAAAGAGTAAGCTCTGGAAACTGTCTAATGCCATCTTCACTACTCAGCAGAGCTGGAATGACAGCTATAGACCAACAATAGCCAAAATGCTTATCTGTCAAATATAAATGAGAAGAATTACCAAATATAACTGAGGAAAGTTCTTTGGAATGTTGAGGAAAGCATAATTAAATAACTTCCTAGAGAGAAAGGAAAACAAATAAATCCACTGAACAGCTGCTTCCTTTAGAAAGAGGAACCACAATAAAGAGTTGTTTAAATGATTAACTAGGAAGTTTTGTTAACCTTCTAATCTTTAAGCATGTAGTGTACCAGAACTTTACATAGATTATCATAAGTAACCCTCTAAAAAACCTTGTGACATGGCTTTTACCTTCCTCATTGCGTCAATGAGGAAACAGGTTCAGATAGATTAAGTAAACTGCCCGCAAAGTTCTCAGATAATTAGTAGCTAAGCCAAATTCTGAACCAAAGACTGATTCTAAAATCCAAGATTTTCCTTTATACTGAAATAATTTTCACTTTTTGACCAATAATGGTTTCCTGTCAGGACCTGAACCAGCCATTTTGGAGTAAAATCAACACTGTTGACCTTTACCCAATGGTGTGCCCGTCTTATAGATGCTGCTCGTGCTGCAGTTAATGGCTTAGACCTGCGACCTTCTCCACAGAATGTGCTGAGATGACAAGAGCCACCTCATCCTGATGTACCTAGGAAATTATACCCTGCCTCCCAGGAGCAACCAATGCCTAATTGATACTCGGATGCAAAAGCCCTGATTCCTTCTCTCAAGTCTGGACAACTCTGTGGTGCAATTTACACTTTAAAACCCACCATCAATCAGGTGAAAGCTACACTTAACCTGAGAACACATTCTTGCTCAACTCCTTTCCCTCCCTATCCTGCTGCTTCATTCCCTTATGGATTTTTTCTTTTTTTTTTTTCCTGGATAGCACCCTCAAAAATTCACATGCATCTGAATCCCTTCTGGACAAACTAACCGAAGACAGTTTGTACCACTAGTGGACCCAGAAAGTAAACTCTAAGAATAGAATTATTGAATTGGATCATCCACCAGCCAACTGGCCATCGAGACTCCACCACTGGAGAGAGGTGGAGTATTGATAGTCCTGGCTTGCTGTAGCATTGCATCTATGAACATTTTCACTTGATAAATTGTCATGGGACATAGATGAAAGGAAATGTATTGGCTTGTACAATATCTCTGACACTTGAGAGGCGCAGTGGAAATAGCAATAACAAGCATTGTGAAATTAGGTGGCTGAGTACTGTTGATGCAGGCTCAGCACCCTTTACTGGAAATAAAAGCTTAAGGCAGTCAATCACAATTCAAATCCAAGTGTCAAAGCCAGAAGACCTCCTTCTTAGTTTTTAAAGAAACTCTTATCTCAGGTAGGTGGGAAGCTAATCATGCTAAGGATCAGGCTCAAGATATAGTCATAAACGAATAGTAGAACTTCAGTAAAGTATGAATTCTTAGCCCCGGCAAGTCTCCTACTAAGTAAGGGCCCTTATGGAAGAAGTGCCTTTAGACTTGGCATGAGGATATCTGGGTAGATGTACTACAGAACCTTGAAGCCCAGATTTCCCTAAACCCAAAAAGCCTTTATAGTTGGCTCACTTCGCCTTGTTATAAGACAGTGCTCCTATTGCTTGAAGGCCATGCAAAGGAATCAAATGCAACAGGTATCCTGTAAGACCATAATCTCCCCTCTCAAGATCTGCCCCTACCTCCACTTCAGACATCAGACCAATAGCCAGAGTCAAATCTCAGCATAAACTGACTAAGGACATGCTGGGCCTGCTAAGAGAAGAGAGAGGAGAGGAATCATGTGCAGGATCTGTGACCTGGCTGGCATGTGTTAGGACTTGGGAGAGTATGCCCAGAAGGGGATCCTAAAGCAGATGAGGGAGAGTTTGTCAAGATGGGGACACTCTCCTAAGGGTTTAATCCTGGCAAGTGCTCTGGGTGTCAGTTCTTATATGCTTCTGGAAGCTTAAGAAAAATGATGGTCAATATTAAAGGGTATAGAGATGCTAGAACTGCCCTTTGCTGACTAAATAAGAAGTAATCAAAGGTTCAGAGAAATACGCATGTTAGAATGATCTATTTTATAAAACCAGAAAACTCACCAGCTATTTTCTTTATTAGAGGCCTGAAGATATACCATGTATCAGGGCAATAAGAAATAAGGACAGGGACCAATATTACAGAGAAACTCAATCGTGGCTGACCCTCTGTAGGCTGCATCTGATGATAAGAGATGCTCTTGTCAAACATGGCTGCCTGGTAGCAGTGGTGATTATAGAATACCAGGATAGCAAAGCTAAGTGGCAGCACTTAACCTTTAGAAGCAAGCTGGGTAAAAAATATTGGAGGGCCAGGACTAGGGTGATGCAAGAGATGAGCCTAGAATGCAAAATTAAAGAAGGCACTTATTTTTAGGGTTGTGGAAATGCTGACCCTATGAGTGAGTGCTTCCTTAAGAGTGAGGCATGTAGGGCAGCAAGGTTGGGATGCAGCCATGGGAGAGGACATCCTGACCTGCAGGAATCTATGAAGAGAGTTCATCGTTCCTTAGCGTAAGGGTCAGCCGACATAGGTATTGCTCGATATGTAATCAAAGAGATTAAGGATGAATGATCCAAAGACTGAGGTAAGCCACTTTAATAGAAAGTCATGGTCTCTTGCCCAGTGACCTTTTTTTTCCCTGTTGGCAATTTTCTCGTCAATTCTCAGACTGAAAGTGAGGACAGATCCCTTTGAGGAAGGACCATACAACATCACAGCAAGTATCTATAGCAGTACTTCTCTGGTCCTTCCCCAAAGGAACCTTCAGTAATTTATTTATGTAATTGTGCATTAGAATCTTTAGAGACCTGTTGGATCTGAGCCATCTCTGATACCTGGAAACAGAAAATCTCACCGTGACCCCTTTTAAAATAGGAGCTACAGAGGCCAGGCAATAAAAGGATTCCTAGTTCATGTTTATCTCACAGTGATACACTGGGTTTATAGATCCACCTGGTGGTCATTCCTATGGTTTTCAAGTATATAGCAGTTTGTATAATCCTCACATTAGTTATCTGACTTTTGGAATGAGAGCTATCAAAGTAAGGAAACCAATGTAAAAACTCCTAGAAATAATATCATTTAATGTGGCAATATTGAATGCTTTTCCCTTAAGATTAGAAATCAAAGCAGGGATATCTATTTTCATCCTTCCTGTTTAGCAATATATTGAAGGTACAAGTGCAATAAGGCAAGAAGAGCAAATAAAAGGCATATGGTTTGGAAAAGTAGAAATAAAACTATGTTTACTTGCAGAAAACATGATTGTTTACTTAGTAAATTCCAAAGAATTTATAGAAAATTTGCTAGCACTAATGAGAAAATTTAATAAGATCACAATATACGTGGTCAATATATAAAAATCAATTGTATTTCTATATACTAACATTGAAAAATTGTACATTTAAATGTAAAAAGTACCTACATCTCAAGGGCAATATACTGAGTGACAAAAGCCATTTTAAAAAGATTACACACTGTATGATTCCATTTGTAAAACATTATCAAAGTGACAAAGTGATAGAGATGGAGAACAGATTAGTAGTTACCAGTGTTAGAGATGGTGGGCTAGGGAAGAGAGCTGAGTGTGACTATAAAAGGAATAGTTCAGGGGGAGTCTTTGTGGTGATGAAATAACTCTGTATCTTGATTGCTGGGACAGTTTCGTAAGTCCACACTGATAAAATAGCATATAACTATGCACACACACTGAACCAATGTCAATTCCCTGATATTATTGATAGTATTACAGTTCTCTAAGATATCACCATTGGGAGAAACTGGGTGATGGCTACATGGGATCTCTCTGTAATATGTTTGCAACTTTCTGGAAATCTATAATTATTTCAAAATAAAAAGTTTTTAAAAAGACACAAGCTCTATATGGTGCCTGGCAACAGAAAACTCCAAAGCATTTATCAAAAGAAACAAAAAAAACCTAATTAAATGGAGTGATATACCATGATCATGGATTGGAAGACTCAACATTACTAAGACATCAGTTCTCCTCAAATTGTTCTAAAGATTCAAAACATTCTAATCCGAATCCCAGCAGAGGTTTTGTAGAAATTGAAGAGCTATTTCTAGAATGTACGTGGATAAGTGAAGGACCTAAAATAGCCAAAACAATTAAAAGAATGAAAAGTTGAAAGGCTCATACTTCTTGATTTCGAGACTTACTATAAAGCTACAATGACCAACGTATTGTGGTATTAGTATAAGAATGGACTTGTAGATCAATAGAAAAAAATAGAGTCAGGAAATACACTAACATATATATGGTTAATTTATTGTGGACATAGATGCCAAGGTAATTCAATGGAGAATGGGTAGTCTTTTCAACAAATGGTCCCAGAACAATTGGACATCCATATGCAAAAAAAAAAAAAAAACGAATCTTGACTCTTTCACCATATGAAAAACTTGACTCAAAATGGATTACAGACAAATGTAAAATTAGCCAATTTTGGAACTACTAGTTTAAAAGACACTATTCATTCATTCCTCTATGTATTCCAGGGTCTAATCATCGTTATAAGCTTAGATTTCTAGCACCTATGTGCCTGGACCTCAGTAGCTTAACTCCTTGCTAAAGTGTCAATGCTGACTCACATGTTTTCCTGTATCATTTCAATTTCATAAAGAGATGATATACTTGGCTTTTTGAAAAACTCATGAACTGAGATTGAAGGTCTTATCTATTATGTTATTCACTGCTCCTTATGAAGTAACTCCTGCAATAAATTTATTTTCTATTTTCATAACAGACAAAAAAAGCTTATCCTTTAGAAATAATGTTTCTTTTTACTAGACAATGTAAACCTTTGATCCATTATATTTCCCATTTTAGTTTGACTGAAAATAAACTCAATCAAAATTACTATATAAATTGAATTTTAGTAAATTTACTTCTACTTCTTATGTGATTTTGATTTTTCATATTTATTTTAGTAAGTTTAGATTATGCATATTTACTATAAATATGCTAAAAATTTCTTTGAAATTATTAAGTTTGTACTGGGTACTGAGATAGAAAAGAAAGAAAAACTTAAGAAAATTCTTTAGCAAGGAAAATTTTCAGTTATATAAATACGCATCACTTGTTATGTATAATATTCATAATGAATGATAATTCATCTTATCTTTAAATGTAAAAATATGTATCAGAAATAATAAAATAATGGGAACACAGAATTAGGAGCTATTCACTGGCCTGTTTGTAGAGAAGAAGAATTTTTGGAAAACCATGTTCCTTTTCTGACTCTGCTTCCCACATTACAAAATGGCACCTCAATCCATACTGTCCACTCACAGATAATTTTTCTTCTGAAAGTCTCTGATTCACCAACTTCGTTCTCCCCAGGCTCTCTCATTCAACCAGGAGAGAGAATGAAGTACATACTTAAAGTTTGTTTCCTTGTAGTCAGAGAATGATATTTAGCAGCAGAAAATTTTAATTGATCTTTTGTTGGGTTATATTAGTACCAAATTAGCATCTCATGTAGCTTTACATACTCTTTATTTGTGATATAATTATTCAGCACATACTATGGGCAAATCTCTGAGGAAAATACAAAGATGAACTTATAGAGGAAGGAAAAATATTCCACATAAAACAAGGAGACGAATACAACTGTTCTACTTTCTGGGGATGGGAGCAATCATTTCAAGAAAGAAAGCAAATGCTATCAATGCCGACAGTGAAAAAATAACGTTTCAGTGAAAATAGCCTGAGGTCTTAGGAAGAAGGAGAGAAGCAGTAATTTCTTCATCTTGCATAGTAGAAATTCAAGTTAATAAGGAAGCAGGCAGGAGACTGGAGGATCCTTCTTGGAAGAAACTGGACAGCAACAGAGAAGACACCAATAAACACTGATATTTGGGGATTCCTCTGAATTTGTTAGGGTATAAATTAAGCTACTGAAACTGAGGTAGAAGTTTGTATCTCTCTCATGCAACAGTCCAGAGGCAGAAGTGTGTACATTGGGTCCCTTCCTCTTTGTTTCTCCACCATCCCCTAGGGTGTTGTCCTCAACAGCATGGTGGAAGCTGGCTCACCAGCACCCTGTCAGCATTTCAGCCGTCTTAGGGCAAAAGAGGAAGTGGGAGGTAAGCAGCTTCCTTTTTAAGAAAGCGACTGGACAGTTGCACCCATCGGGAGGTCGCTCCAAGGGAGATTCTAGCTGAGGAGCCATGTGCCCTGCTGATATTTAAAGGGGTAAGAGTAGTTTTCTCTTACTTAAAAGAGGTAGGAGAAAATGGATACTGGGAAACAATTAGCAGCCTCTGCTATAGCTGCCAATAAGAAAAAAATAGCTCACTGTCTGCTCTCTCCACGTACATACAACTTAAATCAGCTCATGTGGGTCTCACCCTGAAAAATGAACGTATAATCTAGAATCATCATCAATAGAAGTTTGCAGAGACTAGAACTTCCAAATAAACGATTAGTAACATCCTCTGAGATACAGAAGTAGTCATTATATCCACAAAGAACAGGACAACTTTTTTAATAAAGGGAACATTTTATAAAATTAATAAAACAGAATACAAAGTCAATGAAATATCCCCAAAGAATGTGGGGGAGAGGTGAGACAGAGATGATAGCATAGGAAACAGAAGGAAAAATATAAGAAAATTATAGGATTGACAAAGAGGTCCAACATCTGACCAGTAAGATATCCATTAAGAAGAAAGAAAAAATAAAGGAGAGAAAATTACTGAAGATACTATGACAAGAAAATTTCCCAGAATAAGGGAATACGAGTTTCCTTCTAGAAGAATAGTGATAAAGAAAAAGTTCTATGTCATCAGTAATAAAAATGGCTGCTGACTTCTCAATTGCAGTAGCGGAAACCATCAAACAAAGACGATATTCTTTAAAAGTTCTGAAAGAAAATTATTTGTAACCCGGTTTTTTACACTCAGCCGAATTATCAATCAAGTAAGTATTCAGATAAAGACGGTTTCAAACAGACAAGGGCTCAATATTTTACTTTCTGTGTATCATTTTGTAGGCAGCTCCTTGAGAATGTATTCCAGTAAAATGAGGAAATAAATCAAGAAAGGGGAGAACATAAGCCCAAGAAGCAAAGACAGAGCAGGAAAGTGAGTATAAAGATATGAGAACATCCGCTCATGTTGAAGTATATGGCAGACACTGTCAAATTCCTGTCAATATCACCAGGGCTCTATCACTTTGGCACACTCTGCACAACTTCCAAAACCCAGCATCTGCTTATTTTGCTAAAGCTTTTTCCAGAGCCATTGAAGCCTACTCTGATGACTTGCACAGCAAGTCAAAAATACCAAGTAATTAACACCTCCCAGAAGCAGATCTTAAGATCCATAAGTGATGGAAGTTGTTTTATCAATACTGCAGCTCTCTTGCCCTTTGAGTGGGACAACTCTCAGGTATGTGTTTGACACCCCTTCATAGTTTCCTCATGAGTTTAGTTTCCAGTCACACACGCAGACATGTGGCTTGACAATGCGCTTCTTCAATTCAATAATGTCGGTGTATAGGTCTTCCACCTTTTTGGTTAAATTTATTTCTAGATACTTTATTCTTTTTGTTGCAGTTGTAAATAGGATTGTATTCTTGACTTCTCTTTCTGCCAGTTCGTTATTAGTGTTTAGAAATGCAAGTGATTTTTGTAAGTAAATTTTGTACCCTGAAACTTTGCTGTAGTTGATTATTTCTAATAGTTTTCTGATGAATTCTTTAGGATTTTCTATATATAGAATCACATCATCTGCAAACAGTGAGAGTTTCATTTCTTCCCTTCCTATCTGGATTCCTTTTATTTCTTTTTCTTGCCTAATTGCTCTATGTTGAATAGGAGTGGTGAGAGTGGGCACCCTGGTCTTATTCCTGTTTTCAGAGGGATGGCTTTCAATTTTTTACCATTAAGTATGATGTTGGCTATGGGTTTGTCATATATAGACTTTATTATGTTGAGATATTTTCCTTCTATATCTATTTTATTGGGAGTTTTTATCATAAGTGGATGTTGGATCTTGTCAGATGCTTTCTCTGCATCTATTGAGATGATCATGTGATTTTTATTCCTCCTTCTGTTTATGTGGTGTATCACATTGATTGATTTGTGGGTGTTGAACCATCTCTGTGTCCCTGGTATAAATCCCACTTGATCATGCTGTATGATCCTTTTCATGTATTGCTGTATTTGGTTTGCCAGTATTTTGTTGAAGATTTTTGCATCTATGTTCATTAGTGATATTGGCCTGTAATTTCCTTTCTTTGTCTTGTCCTTGTCTGGTTTTGATACCAGGGTAATGTTGGCCTCATAGAATGAGTTAGGAGCATTCTATCTTCTTCAGTTTTCTGGAATGGTTTGAGAAGGCTACATATTATATCTTCTTTGAATGTTTGGTGGAATTCTCCAGAGAAGCCCCTGGTCCAGGACTTTTGTTTTTTGGGAGGTTTTTGATTACTGTTTCAATCTCTTTACTAGTGATTGGTCTATTCAGATTGTCTATTTCTTCTTGATTCAGTTTTGGGAGGTTGTGTGAGTCTAAGAATTTATCCATTTCTTCTAGGCTATCCAATTTGTGGGCATATAATTTTTCATAGTATTCTCTCACAATCCTTTGCATTTGTGCAGTAAGCATTATAATTTCTCCTCTTTCATTTCTAATTTTATTTATCTCAGCCTTTTATCTTTTTTTCTTGCTGAATCTGACTAAGGGTTTGTCAACTTTGTTTATCTTCTCAAAGAACCAATTCTTAGTTTCACTGATCCTTTCTACTGTTTCTTTAGTCTCTATTTCATTTATTTCTACTCTAATTTTTATTATTTCCCTCTTTCTGCTGACTTGGGGCTTTGTTTGTTCTTCTTTTTCTAATTCTGTTAGGTGTAGTTTAAAATTACTTTTTTGAAATTTTTCTTGTTTGGTGAGGTGGGCCTGTATTGCTATGAATGTCCCTCTTAGAACTGCTTTTGCTGCATCCCATAAGAGTTGGTATGTTGTATTTTCATTTTCATTTGTCTCCAGGTATTTTTTAATTTCTCCTTTGATTTCTTCTTTGATCTAGTGTTTGTTCAGTTGCATGTTGTTTATTCTCCACCTATTTGTCACTTTCCAGCTTTTTTCTTGTAGTTGATTTCTAATTTCATAGCATTGTGATGGGAAAGATGTTTAATATGATTTCCATTTCCTTAAATTTATTAAAGATTGCCTTGTTTCCCAACATATGGTCAATCTTTGAGCATGTTCCATGTACACTTGAGAAGAATGTATATTCTGCTGTTTTGGGATGGAATGCTCTCTATATATCTATTGAGTCCATCCAATAAACTGTATCATTTAAATCCACTATGTCCTTGTTGACTTTCTGTCTGGATGATCCATCTGTTGATGTAAGTGGGGTGTTGCGGTCCCCTAATATTATTGTAATAGCACCTATATTGGTGCTGTTAATTTCTCCCTTTAGGTCTGTTAAGAGTTGTTTTATGTATTTTGGTGCTCCTTTTTTAGGTGCATATATATTCATAAGTGTTATGTCCTCTTGGTGGAAAGTTCCTTTTAGCATTATATACTGCCACTATTTCTCTCTCATTGTCTTTTTTGTCTTGAAGTCTGCTGTGTCTGATGTAAGTAAAGCAACACCTGCTTTGTTTTCTTTGCCATCAGCTTGGAATATCATCTTCCATCCCTTCACTCTGAGCCTATGTTTGTCTTTAGAGCTGAGATGTGTTTCCTGGAAGCAGCATATTGTTGGGTCTTGTTTCTATTTTTTTTTAAGATTTTTTGCTGAGAGATTTGAGTAGAGAGAGACTGATAGACCAGAATAAATGTCAACAGAGAGTCCAAGAAAAGGCAACTGTAGAAGAAGCCATCTGTGCTCTGCCCGTTATCTCTACCCCTGCAAGCAGCCCCATAGTGCCACCCGCTACCAGTGTCCTTGTCCTCAGAAGTCTTCTCAGCTGACCAGAAGTGACTGTCAGATGTCCTGGGAGTCAATGCTGCTGGAGCAAGCCTCTACCGGTGAGGAAAGAGAGTTGGTGAATAAGTACCCCAGGTCCTCATCCTCAGGAAGACAAATCAGAATTGTATTACATATGCTTTCAGAAGGCAGCCAGCATAATTGAGCTCCTGTTAGCAACAACAATAATCCCCTCAATAATGCTCCCTCTTTAAGCTGTCCTTCCTTCGTCTTCTTACCACCCTCTCACTAACCATGCTTTCTGGTGCTACCAACCAAGGAAACTAGTTACCCACAAATCTTTGTCCCAGGGAAACCCAAATAAATATCAACCAAAATCAATTCCTAGTAGCAGGAGCAGGTAATGGCTTTTAAGACCATGGATAGATACCTTCCATGTTAAATAGGTTTCTCTAACAGTTTAAGCCCCTCTGTTATATCTTAAGTTTAGTGAAAGCCTGCAACATGCTATTGCCTCTTCTGAGTATGTTTGGGGAAATTAAATGAAAGAGGGTCATTGTTAGCATAGGGTTCTGGGTTCTAGGGAAAGATGAGAAAGCCAGCGGAGCTGAAACATGAGTGAGAAAGAGACTTCAGAGTAAGCAGAGATGGATGAAGTGGAGAGTGGAAGGAATAAAAGCCTCCAGAATACTCCAAGGTATAAAAGTGATTGATATGGGGTTTCTCCTAATGTGTGGGATAGTTTCTCAAGCCACTTTACTTTTCTATTAAGGGAAATAAGGACCAAATCATATGGAGGGCTTGGGAATACACAGGTGGCTGCCATGTGGCTTTCACATTTATGAGTCTTTCAGAGTTTGTTTTCTAAGGGTGGAATAAAGAGGTCAGGCATGAACATAAATCCCCTTTGTGTAAGGCAGAAGTCAAGAAGTAGCATTAGTGAGGCAAAGGTCAAGTGCATGGGGATTTAGAAAAGGGCATGACTCCTTTCAAATGGGGAAGAATGGACAAAGCTTTTTGGGTATGTTGACATTTAATCTGAGTTTTTAAGGACATGACTGATTTGGACATGTAGAGCTCTGGAATAAAGTTTTCAAGGGGCATATATTGGTGTATATGCAAATATGTATTTTCAAGGTCTTCACAGTAAAATAAAAGTATTAACTTAATGTAATGAGCTTGTTTAGGATCTTCATTTGGTGAGATCCTAAATGATCATGGAGACAAATAGTTTTGATATGTGAATATTTATTACAATGAATTTTGGTGCCAAAGGGATGGCAAGGTTGATAAACTGAAGTGATCAACACAGAATTGAAGGCAGCAAGTTACCTTTTTCTCCCTTTTTGGGGGAAAAATTACACTGATGTCTCCAGAGTGGATTTCCTTGCTTTGTCTGTTTCTAGTTCTGGGAGTTAAGTCTCCAGAGATTGGGTCGTTTTCACATCCTCCAGGGTTGGGAGATAATGCATGAGTTTTCTGCCTGCTAACACTTGCTCACAGACTTCAGGGCCCTCCTAAAAGTGATATGGGTGGTGAATGGGATTGAAAGCTCTCTCTCCAAATCACAAAGAGGGGTGCATACTGACAATGGCAGGACTACAGGATCATGTCCAAGACCAACTCCAACTGGTGGGTGAGCAGGAAAACTATAAAACACTTTGGGTCCCACCATAGTCTTCCCTAGATGGATATAGATTTGTTCTGAGACAGCTTCCCAGAAAGCCTCCATGGAGACATAGGCTATTTCTTCCCCCAAAATGGAACAACAGTATATTATATAGTCTAGAAAATTTAAAATTAGAAAGCAGTACTCTCAGGTCTATGAGACCCTCTTCTCCTTATGGGGCTCAGTTTTTTCTGCTGTCAAGTGAGAGCAGAGAAAATTGCTGCTCTTAACATATCAGAGTTCTTCAAGGAAAAAAAAGGAGAATTCCTTTGAATGATAAATGAATCCTGACACGTCAGATCTCAACGTTGCTGGTTAAGACAGTGCTTTGGGGAAGGCACCATTTTTAGGGTTTCATAGCATAGGGACTCCTTTGGATTATGACATTCATCTACTCACACTTGGGCACCTTGGGGTACCAGGATCTGTTCTCTGAGAAAGTGATACTTTGGGGACCAACCATACCACAGCCAGAGTCACACTAGATGATGACATTTTCAGGTTCAATATATTGATCCTTATCCACAGAGAGCTTTCTATTTTCCATCTGTGATTTTAGACATAGCTACAATGGAAACACAGTTTTAAGCAATCTGTAAATCTAAGAAAAAAAATGAGTCTAGGTTAATAAAAATGAACTATATTTAAGTGCTGCAGTTTTTTCTTTCATTTTGATAATAAAAATAATATTCATTAACGTATTTATTGAGCACTGAGTAGGTATTAGACTTTAGGCTAGAACTTTACGTGATTGCCTCATTTAAGTCTCACTCAGCTCTTTGAAATGAGCACTGTTACTATTTCCATTCTACCTAGGAGAAATCTAGGAGAAAATGAGATACAGAGAGGTCAAGAAACTTGTCAAGGTTATAAAATTTTTAAATAACATGACAAGAAATAAAAAAGGCATGTGACCCCAGATTCTCAGCTATCAAAGCAACTATCCTTCATATCTTGATTCTAGTATGAAATTTTCCCTCTTGCCTATTATCCTTCTGTGTGTAATGGAGACAATGCTGGCAGGTAATCCACGGAGTTGTTGATGGCAAAGTGATATTAAATTTGTGTGCATGTAAAAATCAGACCTCATCTTGAGTCCTTCTGTCCTCATAACAGATTGGCAAACTAAGAGTCCCCCACCACACGCCTACATCATGGGCAGGTGGTGCCCTGCACAAGGATTTGATGGAAATACCTGTCACTTCATGATGTTTGGAATTAGCCCCTGAGAGCCTACATTGATGCTAGAGCAAGTTTCCATGAAAATTTTCCTATAGGCCACAGCTACCATCACATAAATTGTACCACCTATAGAATATTTCTGGAAATATATACAAGAAAGTGGGAATAGGGGACACCTTAAGAAAGCTTAATTTTGTGCCAGAGAGAAAGAAGTAGGAGAGAGATGACTGTTTCTGTATGCCATTTGTATTATTTGCATTGGGTACCATCTGACTATAGTAATTACTCTAAATAAATCTAGTCAAATCAAATGTTTTCATGTTGCCACTGGTAGCAAAGAAACTTTACACTCAGTCCCCTCATGGCAGTTCCACACACTAAGCCATGAAATGAAAAGGGAGCTGGGGTTACTTTTACATTGAGGGAGTTCAGGTGCTTAGCACAAAGAACTGTAGGAGAGTCTGGTCTGTCTAACCAGAGCGTATCCTTTCTCACATTCATATATTACCTCCTTTCTGAATAAAGCATATGACTGTGTTTGTGTAGGATGTCCATGGGCAACGATAGGAGGGAAATAGCAACCTTGACAGTGAGACATAAAAGTGAGAGTGTGTGAGCTTGCATAATATAAAAAATAACACATCCCAGGATCTGCGTGGTTTGTAGGAGGCTTTCATCTTCTCTGCCCATAGGATCACTTAGCCAAAGCCAAGATCTGTGCTGCCCTCCTGTAAGCCTCAGGCTAAGGAACTGTAGATAGTGCAAGTGGAATTACAAGAACTCAGATTTTGCTTCATTTCATTGACAAGTTCACTAACCTTTACACTGTTTAGGGACCATTTGGCATGAAGAAGGCTAGATCAAACCCAAAGTCACATTGTACTAATGGTACACTCCATCGATTTAAGGCTAAATGCAGAGAAGTGCATCTGTGAGAAACTGTAAAGACGCTAAATAAATCCACAATCTCTGAGTCAGAGCTCCCAGTCAAAACTGTCCATCCATCTTCACCAAGAATATACTTACTTTATCATAAAATATTTTAGAAAAGAGCTAATAGAAAGAATAAATATGATGACTTCCATGTTGAAATAATAGACATGATATGGTGCAGAGCACCTCTCTGAAAGGGAACGATGTCAAGTTCCACAAACATGGCATGAGAAATTTAAATAAAACAGATCATCAAGAATGTCAGGTAAAATACTATACTGATGGACTACAGCAGTTATAAGTACTATCCTAAGATGCCTCCTACAGGCATGGAAAACATGATGGCTTACTGTGGTAAGCAAGACTGAAATGTTGGAATTGCCATGGGAGATGGTAAAAGGAAGGATTAAATGACTCAGGAAAGTGAGCATACTGGAGTGGATATTCTATATATGCTGGAAAATCATATAACATAATCATAAATTATAATAACTTATAATCATAATTTGTGATTATGTTATACGAGAGGGCCTGAAGGATACACTTACCAAGGGCATAAGGGATTTTCAGCAAGAGGAGTACCAATATCAATGGCCAAAGCTGATGATAGGAAGACCATAAAAGAACAAGTTCTACTCTTAGTAATAGAGGTACTCCATATGCTTTAGAAGCTAAGTAAGTGTAATCATCATGAGTGGCAAGGTAGACAACCAAAAGTGTCTAACAGTTATGAAGATGGTTAATAGAACATGGCATTCATAGGGATGAAAACAGATGAGCAGCAGACAAAGATATTGCTCAAGTTATACCATAAAATAAAAACTCGCAATCTCTTACTCAGTTTCTGAACCTGTGCCAGTTGTCAGACCTGGAGATCATTGAAGAAAAAGGCATTCCCAGGAGAAAGACACTACAACACCTTGGAAAGTATGTGCAGTAATGAGTCTTCCAGTCTTCCAAGAGAACCTATGTTATTTACATAGTTAACTGGGCATTGGTGAAAGGTGCAAAATAATCCAAGGATTAATGGACATAGAGCCTGAGTTGACACTGATGGCTCCCCCATTAGACCACTTGGTGGTTACTTCCATTATCTTTGAAAGTATAATCAGAATAGACAAAACTAGTAGTTGGCACAACCCCCATATTGGGTCTTTGGCCTATAGGAAGAGAACTATCATATCCAAGAAGGAAAGTAGAAACCATTGATACTTCTGCCTTCCCCTTGAGGCAAAGAAGGTAAATTAAAAAAAGATATCAGGTGCTGAAGGGTAGGAGAAAAGGAGAAATTAGTGTTACTCTTAAAGAACTAAAGATGCATCCCCAGCATAACCCTATCTACTTCACCACTCTGTCTACTACAAAAATTAGGATTCTGGAGAATTATGGTAGACTATAGAAAACTCAACATTTTAGCTCCTATTGCAGCCACTGTACCGGATGTGGTATTGTTGCTAGAAAAGATTAATGTGTCTTTGGGTAAATGAGGCAACTGATTTATCAGAGGCCTTCTTTTCCGTCCCTATCAGAAAAAAAGGTCAGAAACAGTTTGCACACACATGAAAGGGTCAGAATCATACATTTGCCATTTTAGCCCTGGGTGATGGTAACTCACCTGCGCCTATATACTAGAGTCTGAAGATAACATGACCATTGGGACATCCACAGAATATCACATTGACCCTGGATATCAATGGCATCATGTTAATTCTACTGAATAAGCAAAAAGTAGCTAGCATGATGATGCTCCAGAGTACAGGAAGTAGAGAAGGAAGATAGGAAGTAAGTTCAGAAACTCAGATTCAAATAGATTTGGGTGTGTCTGTACTGCAGACTAAGGCATATGAACAAAAGGAAGGGAGAAAGAATAAATACCAAGAAACACAGGGTAATAACTCAAAAGTCTAGTTGATCTATTAGACGTGGCCTATTTTCACTGATTCAGAAAATGAAAGGAAACCAGGAATGTCAAGAGAATGAGAACAAACAATGGGGGAAAAAGAGAAGGTTGGAACTGAGGCAGTGCTTTTTAACAAGTTTGTCCACTCCAAGAATCATGCAAGGTATACAGATTCTTTTACCTAATTTGAAACCTTCCCTTAATACTCTCCATCACTTTGATATGAAAAAAATTCTAAAATAACATAATTCCATAAGCTCTTACTCTGATCAGATGTTGGGGTTTTGGGGACTCCACATGCCATTTCCTGGCATCTGGCTTCAAACTTACATTTCTCATAACATGTATATGAAACCATGTCTCTGTAGGAAGAGACACAGCTATTGCCAGAACCACTTTTTCTCTCTTGAGTGATTTTGCCATTCTTCGGCTCTGCTATTGAGTAACATATCTCTGAAAAATAAAAAGTGAGGCTAATGGCTAGCAGAATCACCCTGAGGAGGCTCCTATGGCTGACAATCTCATTTCCATCTTTGGAAGATGTGACCACCAAAGAGAAACTGGGAAAACAGTGTCCCAAGACACTTGGAGTCTGCTCTCCCTGTCCCTGATTTGCTAAAGTACTCCAACCAGGTCATCTTCCTCCAACTAAAGAATTTCATAGGAGCCTCCAAAATGAGAGGTAGAATTAAACCTATACGAAAAGGTAAATTTTCAAAATTATTTAAAAGCAGTGACAAATAGCATCCATCTTCTTTCGGCTTCATTAAGACTGAAACCAAGTAATGAAGTTTCAGAATTGTATACTTTTTAGAAATAAAAGTTTAAAAACATTTATAACCCATAGATATTTAGAAGACTTTTTCCTGGCCTTTCTTATGGATATTTCAACCTTGACTATCACTATTTTCTTATATGAACCCTCTTCTGTAAGATAATTAATCCATCTAGCCAAATATGCCACTCACATCTCTATGTCTGCACCTGTACCAGTATCCTTTCTCCTACCTAGAATGTTACTCTTTTTCTCTATTTGCTACTAAAGACCCACTTGGTCTGTGAAGGCTTCTCTTACTGCCCAGCAAATAGTTATCATTTATTTCTCTGAGCTTCTACAGCAGTTATTATGAAGACATTATATATCCTATCCAACTATTTATTGAGATCTTACTATAATTTAGACATTGTGTATACATTATTTATGTATACTATGACACAATGTACACCATACATAGTATATGTATACTATGTATCCTGTAGATAGTATGTATACACAATCTAGACTTTTCATATATCATCTCAACACCAATCATCACAACACCCCTGAAAGACACACATTATCATCTTCCTCACTTTTTCTATCAGGAGATAGACCCTTGGAGAGGTTAAGTATCTTGTTCCAAGTGAGGCAGCTACTGAGCGGCACAGACAACTGAGATCTCTCTTGCTCAAAAGTCCATATTCTCTGTGGCTTCAATCTACATTCTCTAGCAATGATTTAACAGCTAATTTACACTATTTATATTTATGTTTTTTTCCCTTTCGAGAGCAGGGAACATGTCTCAAGTATCTTTGTGTCTTCACTGTTGACATTACAGGTCCAAAATAAATGTCTCCTGTCTAGGGTTGGAAAATGAAATTTTCTAAGCTGCAGATCAAAACACATCATTAGAAAATGCCCTTTTATGAATTAATGTAACAAATATTTATGTAAATTGATACCTGTAAGTCTATTCAGCATTATTTAGAATATGAGGCTATTCAGGCTATTCAGAATATGAGGATTATTCTTTCAATACTGTAAGGAAAATGTCACAACCACATGAACAGCAAAACCACAATATCAATCAGTTTATAATTAAGTATTCAAAGACAAGGAATGCCAACAACACAGGTATAAAAAAGAAGGAAAGAGAAAACCAAGACAGAAAGGATAAGATACATCCTAGAGGGGACTGGAAGCATATTTTAAGGTTTGGATAAACATTTCTTTGACAGGTGAGATACTGGCAGGCATTTTGTCTTGGAGTGACGATTTGAACAAAGGCTTAGAGGCAGCAGAAAATTGTTACTGAAGGATGAAAAAAAGGCAAGCTCAGAAACCGGAGTGAGACATATTTGGGCATATCTTATGCTGAACAAGGACCACAGGTAAGGTGGGAATGGAAGAAGAAGGGATAAATACAAAGAAGCCTGAAGGAACCATGACAAGTTTCTGTGACTGGTTGGATATAATCTACCTTCACTGCCTCATAAAGGAAGAGGAGATCTGGAAGGCCACAGAAGGCAATGAGAGTGTTGGGATGGCGTAGAGCTTTGGAAGAATAACAGATTTAGCCATTTCAATTCTTAAGAGAGGAGATTGACCCAGGATATATGAATTCTCTCACCTAATCTTAAAATTTCCCCTAAAATATCCATCATTATGATGCAAAAACTTCCAAAGTAAAATATTTTTGTACCTCTCTTAGTAAAACAAAACTGAAGTCACTCTGTGATTTTAAGAAAATTCATAAAGCCTGAATAGCATGAAGTCATTCTGGGGACTTAGAAATTAATCTTGACACAGGAGGACAGGGTAGCATTTTGGGACTCCACATTCCGTCTGCTTGGCATGTAATCCTTATATTGTTAGAATTGGGAAAATACCCGATATCACATGAATAAGAAACAGTCTCCATTGAAATAGACATAGCTGTTGGTGAAATCTCTTCTCTGTTGCATGATTTTGTCATTCTGTGCAAAATTCTCTATGTTAAATGCTCTGACAGTGGTATAAGGGATATGTACGTATACATTTAAAAAATAGTCTTAGAAATTCCTTCCTTTAAGGAAGAAATCATACCAGCAAATCAATAAGAAATGTCACTTTTATTGCCATATTTCCATTTATCAACTAAAACAATTACTCTTATCTGCATTTATAAACAGCTCTACTCTAGTGTGGGCTGCAAGTTCTTGCAAACCCTCTCAGTGCTCATTGGTTAGCGACAAGTATAACCTAATTTGAAATACAATACCTTACACTTATATAATATTTTCAGTTTATACAGAGCTTTGTAATTTTACTCTAACAAATTCACTCATTATTTGTAATAATATAAAATTTTACTTTCTGGATGGCAAAGTTTTCTACTCAATCATTAATGCAATAGGAAAGTAAGTAAACCTATAGAAGAATTAATTCTTTAAGAATTTAGGAGTATCCATTTAAATATAATACATTAATATAAAAATTAGAAGGATTTTTTTTTTTGTGGCTAGATCAGCTCCTCATATTTTGGTTTCCAAGTAATTATAATCTACATCAGAAGGAGTAAAACTATTCAAATATCTTTCTTGATAAAATACTTCATTGCACTTCCCCAAAGTTGCACTGAATTATTGCCATTTGTTTATATATCAGGAATTCTTCTGCATACCTTGGCTTAAACTCTCCCCTCTTTTCTATCACCTCTGTACTCACCACACAGGACAGGTGGGCATTGCAGTAGAGACAAGACCCCAAGGAGGCACAATGCAGGGTAAGTTCTCTGCATCTTGAGGGACATGGTGAATAGTCTCAGAGATGTAGCACTGCGGCTCAGCGCTTAGCTCTCAAAAATAAAGAGGAACACTTCCCAGAAAGTAGTGGCTGGATTCCTCTGTAATACTGATGACAACACAATTAAATTTCAACTTTCCTGAAGAGGAAGGAAAGCAAATAAACACACCATGTGGTTGCTTAATTTTATAAAGAGGAACTAAAATAAAATCTGAGTAGGTCAGATAAAAGAGATAATTTAAGTGATTTAACAGAACATTATTTTTTAAAAAAATTTCTGCTTATTAACGATATTCCAAACTTTTATATAAATCATTGCATTTAATTTCTTAAAGCAAACCCAAACATAGGCATTACAGCCACACTTTACAGATGAAGAAAGTGATTCAGAAAGACTGAGTATATGTCCCAAAACTTTTCTCAGCAGTAGCCACGTCAGATTCTGAACCCAAGTCTGACCCAAATCTCAAGCTCTTTCCACTATAACAAACTAATTTCCATTTAATGAACTCAGACTACAAAGGTTTCTTGTGCAGGATCCTGAACCTATCATTTAGGAGACCATGCCTGAGAACATTCTGCTTTTTACTATTATTGAAAAGACCCCAGATGACCTGCTCTATAGGGAGACCAAATCTCTATATGATCTACTGAGAATTAGCCCCGTGGCTTAGCCACAGTTCTCAATAACTCAGGCCTCAGTATCCACATATGTTTAAATAAGGGTTTGAGACTAGAATGAGTTCTGATATTTTCAGTTCAGAAATTCTAAGTTTGTGCAATAATTGCGAAAAAGTGAAAAAATAGGTATTTATTGTCTTAAATATACAGGAAGGGCAGGAATAAGGTTAAAATCTTAAGTGATGAAACTCTATTCCTATGGCCCAGTTCACCATGAAAAGATCACATCAACATCTATTGAATGAACCAAATACCTGAGTGAATAAGAACTTGCTATTTGCCTTAGCCTGCCAAGAAGCAGTCCTTAAGATAAAGATTTGAGTGCAAGAAATCTATCTGAGAGATACTCCTAGAATGCGTCATTAAAGGAATAGGGACATTAAGATTGAAGGGAAGAAAATGAATACAGCTTGCATTAGTGAGCAGGTTACCTCTGTGGGCAACTGAGGCTGGATCTCTTCGGGAACCTGAGGTGGTGAGTGTAGAACATGCCTCAGACATATCCTACCTGGAACAAGAAAGCTGGCATTTTTATCTACCAATGTGCATATGTCAGGGAGGCCAGCAGAACATTTGACTTCCCATAATGGAGGATACAGTGATTTGCCTATCAGCAGTAGATTCTTGTCTGGATTCAGAGTTATCATCCTGCGGCCAGGCTTCTACCAGCCAAATCACCTGCGGACTTATCGACTGCCTTATTTTCTGTCACGGTAGGACATGCAACACTGCTTCTGATCAAGAAATGTATTTGATAATGAAAAGTAAGTCAATGGACTGATGCTCCTGAAATTCACTGGTCCTACCTTGTATCCCATCCCACAGAAACAGCTGACCTTATAAAAGACTAGAGTGTTCTATTGAATGCTCCATCAGAGGAGAAAGAATACCTTATGAATTTGGGATATTGATCTATAGAATATAGTATGTCTTCTAAAGTAGTGGCTGATAATTGGAGCTACCCTCAGTGGCCAGACTAGTGAGACCAAGGACAGACATCATGCAAAGACAGACACACCAGAGGAGCCCCAGCCATTCTAACCTCCAGCTGATTGACTCTTCCCAGGTCAGGTACTAGACATGTGAGTAAGCAAACCTTCAGATGACTCCAGCTCACAGTCTTTGAGTGACCCTAGCTGATACTGAGTAGAGCAAAGTTGTCCTCAGAGAGTCTTTCCCAGATTGCAGCTTTATGAACAAATCAATTCTGTCATTTTAAGCCACTAAATTTTGGGGTGGTTTTTTATGCAGTTACAAATAACAGTAGAGCATTCTCTACATTAATGGGAAAAAATGTTTTTCGTAGCCTCAGTAGATGCAGAAAAAGCACTTGGTAGAATTCCACTTCCATTTGCCATTGAACTGCAGGTCCTATCCACGGAAATAAGGTATCAATCATTTGATAACTAGATACATAGACAGATAAATAGATAGATAAATAGGAGGCATGGAAAGGAAGGCAAACTGTTACTATTCACAGGTGACATAATTAAGAAATTAGAATTAGCAAGTTGCCAAATACAAGGTCAATAATAAAATCCAATTTTGATATATACAGTCAACAAAGTTATTTAAAAAGACATTTTTATAGAGATATAATTTAAAATTCTAGGTGCCTAGGAATAAATCTAATGAAAGATGCATAAGAGCTCTTCACTGAAAGCTAAGGAGATAAATATATCTAAATAAATATAGAGAAATACCATATTTATAGATTGGAAGGCACAGTGTCGTATAGATGTCAGTCCCTCTCAAACTGACCTATGGATAAGATGCATCCTAATAAAAATTTCAGTAAGACTTTGATGGAAATTGACAAGTTGATTCTAAAATTCATATGGAATATGAAGGATCCAAAGATCTAAAAACAATCTCTAAGAAGATGAAGGAAGAGATGGAGGAGGAATAAGGAGGAGAGGAACAAAATTAGAGAAACTACACTGCCAGATAACAAGATTTATTTATAAAGCTATAGTAAATAAGAGATTGTGGTATTGGTGTAACATAGTCAAATAGATGAAAGGTTAACAATTGAGAGTCAAGCAACAAACCCCAAATATGCATGGTTAATTGATTTATGACAAAGTGATGCTACAGAGCAATGAGGGAAAGGGAGGTCTTTTCAGTAAAAGCTGCCAGGTCCATTGGATATCTATATGGTAAAAAAACGAATCTTAGTTCTTTACTTCACACCATAAAAGTTTCTAGTGAATCATAGATCTAATGTGAAAGTAAAGTTACAAATCTCCTAAAAGAAAACATAGTCCAAAAAAATTGAAAACAACCCAAATTCCATTATCAGAGAACACGATAAGTAAATTGTGGTATATTGATACAATGACGGACTACTTAACAGAAATGAAAATGAATGAACCTCAACTACACACAACATGCATAAATATCACAAATATAATGTTTAGGGAAACAAAGACATGAAAGAAAGAACGCGTAAACCATGATTCCATTTCTATAAATTTAGACAACTTAAAACCAATCTGTGCTATTAAAAGTGGGGATAGTGGAATTCTTTCCAGGGTTAGAGTGTTGAGTCAGCAACTAAGTGAAGGGGACACCACAGGGCTTCTGAACTTTAGGTAGTGTTCTTTTTTCTCACTCTAGTTTCTAGTTACAGAAGTGTGCTTACTTTGAGAATCCAAGGAGTTTTGTGCCCTTTTCTGTAGATAAACAGTGGGTAGGTTTTGGATATGCTGAGCTGTAGACTAAAAGCATTCAGGCAAAGACAGCAGTGTAAACATATTTTGAATTTCCTGGCTTATATTCTTTCTGAGATACAAAAAGAGGGGGAATTTAACTGCAGACCTGTAGATTTGTGTCTTAGATATGTCACATTCTGCGTGACATATTGACCAAGATGACAAGAGACAATCTAATATTTGATAGATGATTATTTAATTAACCAGCACCTTGAGTCCAGGGAAGCAAACTCTTGAACCACAAAACTCTAGATGGTTTGGGTACAAACCACTCGTTTTCTGTAGCAATAACCATAATCCAGCTCTTCTACCCAGACGTTCATTACATTGAGTGATGCTGCTTAAGGAACAATAGGATCTCTGTCAACAGTCTTTTGGGTGACCTACTCAGGAAGAGCTGCAGTGGCAAAGAGGGATCAGTGTAGTGGCTACTGCACACCATGACCCCCTCGAAGACGTGGACTTCCTGCCTCCCCTCTGTCTCGACCACAACATCTCATTGGTCAGTGGAAGATGAGTCCTAATGCTTTTTCCCACTGCACACCTTTGAGGGAAACAAAAAAATTCTTAATCTTAATGAAGCGACCGTTTTTAAACTTCCACCATTTTCCACAACTTAAAGAACAGATGACTCATACCTCCTACCTGGGGTAGGACCTAGCACCTAATTCTCTATTGGAAATCTTCAGAAATTTTCTCATGGGGCTTTTATAGTTGCCTATTTGAGAATATTGAGAATAAGGCTGTGGGTGCATAGGACAACAAATGCACCTAATTTATTAAATTACTACACATGCCCCCAAATGTGACTAAGGAAGTAGAATTGGAACACATGTCCATGGTGTTCTAGGTGTGTGACTCTGCCTTTTCTCCTAAGAGTCACATGGAAGCGCTAAAACGATGTCAGCCTCATATGGAAATTGTGGTGATCACCCAAATGAGAACAGACACTGCTTTGATAGTCACGGACTCCATAGTGAATAGTGTGGTTATGATAGACCCAATCTATTGGGTTATGAATCCCCTCAGTCCTCAGTGGTGGTGAGCTCTGTCCTGGGACTACTGGCTCTCCCAGGTCAATCACATCACACTGTGAGCAGCCTCATATGTTCATGATAGTTGATGTATGCCATGAACTAAAAATGTTTGGGAAGCACTAGTATAAGACATTTGTGTACACTCAAACCAGATTTAGCATATATTGTCATTTTGCTATGTTTGTTTTGGAATTCCTTTTTGAAGGAATAAAACATCACAGCGACAGCTAAAGCTACACCTCCCCCATCCCACCCCTTTCCCACCCTCCCCAAAGGTAACCACTATCCTGGAAGTGGTGTGTATGCTTCCTATGCATGCAGAAGCAGAACGCCATAGTTACACATGTATGTCCACTCAGCAATCCACACTATCATGTGCATGTAATTTTTACCTAAGTAATCTCACACTGTAAGTGTTCTTTCACAGTTTTTTTTAATTAGGCATATTCTTGAGGTTTTTATGGTTGGATTCATCACATTTATTAGGGTTACTGATATATTATGATCTATTGCTACTCTAGTAGACTGTGTTTCCTATTAACCTTGTCTTTTCTTAGTTCTCTCTTCCTCCTTTACCTTTCCAATAGACTTAATGCATTTTTTTTACTGTCTTCTTTCCTTCAACTGATTTGTTGTTAGTGCTGTGGAGTCAATTCTGACTCCCAGTGACCCAGTGTACAGCAG